TAATACATTATATATATCATAGTAGAGTTATTAATGGAAATCATAGATATAAAAATGAATTAGAAGAAATGAAATGCTTTTTCTAAATAATAAAATAAATAATACCAAATTTTGGATATATTTTAATTTTAATCGATAAGATAAAGATTTTTGATATTCCAATGTTAACTTACGTAGTTAATGCCAACACATATATATATATATATATATATATATATATATACAGATATATACACATACACACACACGTGGATATATACAAATTGGATTTATATTTGAACGTTACGAAATAGTTTATTCACATTGAAATAGGCGAAGGAGCTTTATTATTATTTTAAATTAAAAAGAGAGAATAATATATTCGTGTAGAAACAGGGAAAAGCAAAAACTGGGTTATTATTACTTCTAAAACGTATGAAAAGAGGCCCGTAGCGATGAATATAATTCTCGGATAATGATTTGAGCAAATGATAATAGGATTTATGGGGATACTGAAACCACTGATAAAGGATATAATAAGTCGGACAATTGCATGTAGTAGTGGTGAAAATAATGGTTATTAAAAATGATTTTAAAGAAAATAAAAGAATGAAAGAAAGAAAGAAAGATGGAAGGAAGGAAGAGAGGAAAGCAAAAAGGAAAGAAAAAAAAAAAGAAGGAAAGAAAAAGAAAAAGGAAAAAAAGAAGGGGAAGAAAAGAAGATAGAGAAAAGTTCCATAGGACGATGAAGAAAAATTTGATTTTCATATATCCTTCATAAAATTTATATTCCAACCTGCATGCATACATACTTACCTTCAATTTACTTACAAACAGAATTTTACTACTATCTTTAGGATTTAGTTTTCATTACGAAAAAAACCCACGAGTTCATCCGTTAGGAACGAAGGGAGAGTTGCTGGATACGAATAAATTTCGTCGGGCGATGTAATTTCGTGTTGGCGATGAACGCATCAACGTTTTTATTACCTTCCTTTTTCATCTCATATGGAATGAATGTATATGTTAACATGTATACACACACACACACACATACACACATATACATACATATCTATCTATGTTTAAATATATACATATATATAACATGTATATGTTATTATCTACACTTTTCCATAACATTCTTTCTTTCTTTCTCTGTCTCCTATGATTTTTCTCTCTCTCTCTCTCTCTCTCTCTCTTCCTCTGTCTCTCTTTCTCTAATTCGAAGTCGAGTTTCCTAACACGTTTAACGTAGTTAACATCCCCTTTAACGATGAGTACGAATAGGGAAAAAAATCCTGTGAAAATCCATCCCTAGATGAATTAAGAGAAAAAGAGAGGGAGAGAAAAAGAAAGAAAGAGAGAAAGAGAAAAATAGAGAGAGAGAGAGAGAGAGAGAGAGAGAGAGAGAAAGAGGGAAAGAGCATAAAAAGCGCAGTGAGAAATGCATGAAGGGTGGTAGTTGGCTTTACGCTCGAGAGGGTTGCGGCTTGGTTGCCGCTCGGCTTTCCTGCACGATATGAGATTATTGTTTTCGCGCGAAACGCATATATGCGATAACTCGATCGTTTCCCTTGGAAAGCTTACCGAGAAAATCGTTCCAAGTCTCTTGGAAACGATTATATATGGATGTTACTTGCCTATAGATACCTATGTATATATATACACTAATATTGTATATGTATATATATATATATATATATATATATATATATATATGTATATATACTACGAAGGAAAAGGAATGTACAATCGAACAATTTGTCGTTATCTCTCGATCTTATCGTACATTATTATCTACGTTCTCCCCGTTTATACCACTTTTGATGTATTCAGGTACGTTTAGAACCATTATTTAGCAACATTTCTATCTATGTTATGCATTTCTCTATTTCTCTATTTTGTAGTATCGTATCGCGAGAATATGAGATATGTTCTTCGTATATCTAATCTCTTTCTTCTTCCTCTTCTTCTTCTTCTTCTTCTTCTTCTTCTTCTTCTTCTCTTATCTCTTCCCTCATATCACAGAGCAAGTTAATTTTCAAACAAATAGTTACGCGTCCTTCGTTATCCCCAGAGTATATTTTGCGTTACCTCACTTTACCCCGCTCATCCCCCTACTTCTCTCTCTCTCTCTCTCTCTTTCTCTCTCTCTCTCTCTCTCTCTCTCTCTCTCTCTCTCTTGGTATATACATTCATATATAATAAATAAGTTTTTTCTTACAGCTTTAGAATTATATAAACGTTTCACGTTTTGTACGATGTATTTATATACATACGATTTTTCCCCTTACTCTTTTTCTCTTTCTCTCTTTCTAGCTTTCTGTGTGTGTTTCTTTGTCTCTTTCTCTCTCTCTCTCTCTCTCTCTCTTTTTATCTCTCTCTCTTTATCTCTTTCTCTTTATCTCGTGTTTATGCGTGCAACATGAGATGTTCTTTTCGCTTGTCTCTTTCCTTTTCTGTTTGCCTATGCGTGTCTCTATTTTTCTCTTTCTCTCTTTTTCTCTCTCCGTTTTTTCTCGTTCTCACTCTTTGTTTCTTTCATTCTCATGACTTTAAAAAAGTCGACTTTCAAACAACGAGAAATGTATTAAGAACAGACAGACAGATAAACAGACAAACGGACAGACAGAGGGGACATACAGAATCTCATTTATTTATATAGTTGTACACACATTAATTTTACTAAAACATCTTTACATTTCATATTTCATATGTATATACACATATTTATATATATATATATATATTTTTTTTTTGGTCAACGAAACAAGCATGGTTCAGTTTTTTTTACTTTCCTCCTTTCCCTTTTTCTGTTTTCGCATAGAAGCATGGAGTACGGTGCTGCCTACGGCGGGTGCGGCCGATTACTGGGATTACAGTGAGTCTTATCAATTATCCGATATCACAGTTATCTCTATCTTTTTACGTATGTATGGATATCATCCCTTCACCCCCTCAACCCCCCTCACGCCCCACCCCTTCCCGTATTATTCCTCAGTGATACGTAATATGTATATTAAAGGTAGAAAAATGATTCTCCGCCAATAATATCGTAACTCAGTTCACATTAGATCGTATGTATATATATATATATATATATATATATATATATATACATATACATATACACGGCGAAATAAATAAATCGTTTTCAACGATGCTATTAAACAAGGTCGTCTTATTTGATAAATAAAGGAGTACTACGTATTTGTTTGATATGAAAAAAAAAAAAAGAGAAATATTACCAGAAACAAACGAACTAACGAACGAACAAGCAAACAAACGATTAAACGAAAAAAAAGAAAAAACAAGAGAAAAGAAACAAACGAACGAAAGAAAAAAGAAAAAAAAAGAGAAGACCAAATCATTATAGGTAGGTAATGCTTTAGGTAGTAAACAGCTCCGAGGAACATTTTCATTTGGGTTTCATCCTTTAGAAAATGGAGAGTAGCGCGCTAAAAGCTTAGAAAGAGAGTGTACATAGCTTTTAATTTAGACGTTGCTGGACTTTGGTAAACGGCGTACGACGAAGTACACGTCGATGCAAAATCGAGAGAGAGAGAGAGAGAGAGAGAGAGAGAGAGAGGAGAGCTCGTATTTATCGCTTAGCTCGAACTTACTTCGCGGATTCCAAGTTCATAGGTTCGTTGCACTCTGAATACATTGCGATTGCCGAATGGCTAAGCTAAACCTTCGAAACTCCGAATGTACGGAGTTTAAAGCCGCGATAGGAATTCGGTCCGAACACGACGGAAGCTCCATTATCCGAATGCCGAATAACCGCGCGATCGATCCTTCGAATAGCGATTAAACGTAAGCTCTAATGAATTTTGTCCCTTTATTAAGGTGAACGCCGAACGTACTTGGTCGTTCTGTGAATTCTCTAAAGTTTCGATTGCATGCGCTCAATCAGCAAAAGATTTTCGATTTATTGACAAAATTTTTACACAAAATCCGATTGGGTATTTGTACGAGTATATAAATATCACTGATTACTTGAATATATATACATATATATATATATATATATGTATATATATATATTTTTTTTTTTGGCGTCATTCCTTTATTCATTTATCTTAACTTTTCATTTATTATAAAATTATATTATATTATATAATTATATCTTTGCAAAAATTATAGATACAAATTATTATTATTATTATTATTATTATTATTATTATTATTATTATAGTTATTTAAAATATTTCCGATTCGCATATCTATTAAAATCAGAGATAACTCAAAATGGATCATAAGTTTATTAGAACTATATCATTTTTTTTTATTATTAAAATAGTTTGACATTATTATTATTATTGTTATTATTATTATTATTATTATTATTATTATTATTATTATTATTATTATTATTATTATTATTATTATTATTATTATTATTATTATTATTGCTAATACATATCCTACTATATTTATATTCGTTCTTACATGATCTCGATTAATGATTGTATAATTCTATTTGTCTCTCTCTGTCTGTTCCTATTTCTATTTCTCTTTTTCTTTCTCTTTCTCTTTCTCTTCCCTCTTGTAAAGTCACGTGCAAATTAGCGAGTAAACACCGCTGATGTATAAACCAGTCGTTGATATCGCGGATTTCTGATCGGTTGCTCACGTTTAAATCGATGTTTCCCATTCCATTTGGTTTTGCGCGGTACGTTTAGTTCGATTCTAGCGTGAAACATGGCACTAAACGTCACTTTGCTAACTCGACACGTTATTTCCCATTCTATCGGATCCACTTCTTGTTAAAGTTTACCATCTGTCGATCATGAATATCTTCGAATAGAAATGATAATCGTCGAGTAAGATTTATACGTAAAGAATATATATATATATATATAAATAAACATACACACACGCACACGCACGCACACACACACACACACACACACACACACACACATACATATATATATATATATATATATATATATATAATATTATTTATTTTAACAAAGAAGAAACGATCAAAATAAATGAAACGAAAGGAAACGTTTCCCAAACGATAATCTTGATTGATAAAAATAAAATTGAACGACAGTGCGACAGTTAGATAAAACGTTGTCGTGAAATCGAAATATCACGAAGGGTTGGAAAAATGCTAGGTAATGATTTTTTAGATAGTCCAATGGTGTTGATAGGTTTTAGTGAGGTGACTCACCATGTGATTTCTACGTGATCGAAAATAATATTGGCGGTTACATCGGCTGCCAATCCTTCTGACAATTTTTCCTTTAGTGGATATATTGATGTAGTTTGCATACACATGTTCGTATCACCCATAGATATATATATATATATTTAAATCGCACCGCGATATTATATATAGATCTATGTATATTTATTCTCTCTCTCTCTCTCTCTCTCTCTCTCTCTCTCTCATTTGATGTATTTATTATCAATATATAAATTTTTATATTTATATGGATATGTAATTATATTTATATTTCTCTATTTATATATCCGTAAATAGATATTTATATACATGTAATATATGTATGTATGCATTTAGGGAATATTTTTATCTCATCCACGTAAATAAATATTTTTTCTTTTTTTTTTTCTTTTTTAAAGAGTACCGATGGATTCTCTTTTTCTCCCTCTCTCTCTCTCTCTCTCTCTCTCTCTCTCTCTCTCTCTCTCTCTCTCTCTCTCTCTCGCGCTTTTTCTCTTTGTCATTATTTCGGACATAGACGCGTGATTGTTTTTTTTTTGCGTTCACGCTTCGAAAAAGGCTGTAATGATCAAGCTCGGAATTGTTTGGAATTCTGTCATCTCTAAGCTTTTATCAGGACGATTTGCACGCTCGAGTTCACGCCGATAGTCATGTTATCGACACTCATAGCCATTCGCCTGTGATCCAATACGGCGATCGAATCAAATAGATTATTCGAAACGTGGAATAGGGAGAAACTAATCAGTGAATAATAGGGAATCAGGGAATTGGATGATGGAGAGTTAGCAGTCTTTCGTAAATCAGTCTTTTCGAGAATTTTTCCGTTTCTTTTTGTCTTCGATCGAATTTCATCGAACTTCGTCCCTAAAAGGGTTGATACGAGTTCGACGATGAATCAAAGAAGAAAGGATGAGGAGAGACAGAAAAAGAGAGAAAGAGAGAGAGAGAGAGAGAGAGTGAGAAAGACAGAAGTAGATAGAAAGGGACACACACATGGTCGATCAACATTTTCCAAAGGTCTCCATCTCGAGGTCGAGTTTGAGGTATCATATTAGCATGTATATTGCATCACGTCGACGTGCACGACAACAACAACGTTCCATAGAAACTACCAGTGACGAACTAAACTAGGTATTCTCGGTGTTCTTTTATTACAATATGCTTCGTTGCAAAGAGTAAAGAAATGGCCGAGGTATGTACTTCGATCTAACGTACCTTTTATTTGATTTAACTTTTATCACGAAGGAAGGCAATATTCAAGATCACACTTTAATCGAGAACTGTGGCTAAATTATTTTACAACGATCGGTGGCGGAGGGGGGAGGAGGATTTGGAAGTGCGATTATCCCGAGTAAAATATAGAATGGAATTTTAAGAATCGAACGAAGGCATGTATGAATTATGCGTGAATATTCGAAATTGAAACGAATCGTTTCGAGTGTAAAGCTATCACGATCGTCAAGTAACAATATTATATGTAATGTAATACACGTGAGAACTGACAAAGAGAAATTCTCACATTTCTCTTTTTATTAATAAACTTTGTTATATGAAAAAAAAATAAAAAAGAAGAAAAAAAGAAAAAAAAAATATGAAACTCTATAAAAATGTAAATATTGTTACCGCATAGGAAAACGACGAACGGTGTCAAATTTTTTGATAGTTTATTTCAACAGATTTTAACAAAAGGAAACAAGAGTTTCTCGGGGCGAGATCTCGCCTGACATGTTTAGTATACGATATGTCGACTTGCCTAACTTTAAATTGCTCGTAAACCGTTTTCATTGGATGAAGAAATATCTTCGTACGGTAGAAAAAAGATTGCATAATGTCGAGAAGCATATACATACACATGCGTATATAAAATGTATAATGATACGTTTTATATATTCATCGTGTCCTCTTTAGTTTGCTACTTTCATTCTTTCATTTTTTCATTCATTCATTCATTCATTCATTCTTTCTTTCTTTTTGTTTTTTTCTTTTTTTTTTTTTTTCCTTTACCAACTAATTCATCCTTGTATCTTCGATTATAAATAATAAACGTGGCGGTGTAAATCGATGTTAAGTCTACAATTATAATTTCAATTATAATTTTAATAAAGGAAATTTTTTGGGTTTAACGTTTATTATAACACAGGGAAGAAAAATAATTCATTTTCTATATAGTAACAAAGTTTTATATATATATATATATATATATATATATATATATATATATATATGTGTGTGTGTTTGTGTGTATTTAAGTACTTACTTACGTCTATCTTATCTACTCGAAAATCGTTTTTTCGATATTCCTATAAATTCGTTGAAGCATAAATTATGATTCAAGAAGGAGAGAAGAGGAAAAGTATGTAGGTGCTCGTTAGCAGATATATACTATACGGGTGCTAGCGTTGAAAGCCTTATCGAGTTCGTAACGAAAGATCCTATTCGTTGGTTCCTACCTTTCCTAGTTTCGAGCTGGCAACGACGTAGGGCATTAGGTTGGTCTAAAGAAAAAATATCGTTTTTTCGATACGGGCTGTGTCCTCAGCCATTTCCTGCCGCGGGTTCGATATCGTTACTACGTGTTCTGATCTGATAGATGCCGTTCAGAAATGCCGACGAATATATCGTAAAGGCCGAACGTCAAACAAATTGTAAAGATTACCTTTTTTTTCTTAACAAATCGAGAA